CATACGAATTAGGAACTCAAACTGGTTGAAATTAGATGTTTATGATGTCAAAATACAAAATATACAGTTTCATACGAATCAGGAACTCAAACTACTGATATTGACAAGCTAGAATATAAAATAAGAATGTCTTATCTTTTCAAGTTGCCAAGATATCGGTCCTGTACTGAATCAAATACAGTGGCCCTCCCACCCACCTCTTTCCATTTTTGTAAAATGGTCCCTTATATACACTTAATTCTATATATGATATGAATAACCAATCAAAATCTCAATGTCCCCCTAGTAGTTTTCTCATGCATTTTGATTTGTTATTGTGCTAATTTCATTTTTTTCATGCAAGTTTTTAAACAATAAGGTAAGTTTTTAGTGAGCTCGAAATTTCATATTTTTTTAGACCCAAATAAAACTTAGGTACTACATTTGATAAATTATAGTGGAATTCTATGGTATCAATATCATAATTTATGCATTTTTGGTTAATTAAAGTGTATATGTAAAACCTAAAATAATTTATTTTTTCATCCTCCATGTGGAAAATTTCATAAAGCTTTGCAACCTATGACAAGCAGCAAAGAAGTACAAAGATAGTAACTAGAAGAGATAATTATTTGCTTTACTTTATTTACGGTTCTATGTTTTAAGAAAAATAAGTTTAAGAGCTTATTTGTAAATAGAAATATCTATATACATATATTATGAATAATAGTTGAAATGTGACTGTATTTTAGAAAATGCTAGTCTACTAAAACACAGCCAAGATGGATACGGTAATATGAGTGCACATGCACCGAATCATTGAAACTTCTGTACTGTTAGCCAGGCATGTCTGGAAGGTCAATATAACAAAAATAATAAATAAACATAAATGCATAACGTTATGAGATTTAAGCTATTTAGACTAAAAATTTGTGTTTTCGTGTTATACTTTGTAGTCACTCTACAACAAAAAAAGCATAATTTATATGTTTCCCTAATTTTTTATTGAGGTTACAAAGTCGGTCATATCAAACCAACCTGTACAGAAATACACTAGTAAAAATTACAAATAAAATAGTGTTTATAAAAAAATTTGATAATTATCTGGAAATTATAAAGATTTTTGTATGTAAAAATTTGAAAATGTTCTAATGCTTTACAGTATTTTTAATCTTAATATAAAAATTGCTTTGCATGTTGGATAGTCAACATTCTGAAACAAAAAGGTTTACGAGAAAATCTTTAATTAAAAAATCTTAATACTTAATTTAAAAATCCGATATTTTGTGTATGAAAACCTTGTAATGATTACCATTAACCTGCAAAATTTTGTAAAGATGTGCATACACTATGAAAAATGATAGCATAATTACTCTCATGGATATTTTCATTGTTACGAG